GTGAGAGAAAACACCACTCTCTGCACTTCTCTCATCTTCATCTTTTTTATTTCATACAGACACTCACAAGACTCGACCTCGAGCATAATCGAATTGGAGATCAATGGAAACAATATATACAAAAAATTGCGGATAGAAATACATGGTTGCGTATAGTTTTTATGAGGGAGACTTGAGTGAAATGGAGCAAATGTCATTTTATTCTGTTTTGAAATAAATCGTATATATTTAAGAAACATATTAATATTTGAAATAGTTCCTTTTGGGGCGTTGCTGTGAATAGCTAGCGTAAGATAGATTTTAGTCCCGCCACTATGATCATTCGATGGTTGGACGGGTTGGTTGTAAGTGTGCATTGTAATTATTGAAATATTATCAGTATAGTTTCTACCTCATTCAATGGTAAAATCATCGGATAGTTTTTTGACTTCTGCATAAGATTTCAAAAGAATAAATATAGAAAAGGTGAAAATGTTGAGAGAAGGGTGGGTGTCGATCAGGGTGATGATGGCGTGAACGCTCACACTCTCAAGATAGTTTCATACTGCAGCGAATATCACAATTAATATATCAAACACTCTTGCTGATATGGCATACCTCATCTATGTATTTAATAGTAGATATTCTGCCGTTGACATATGATTTACAATATATGTTCTTCATTATGGTCACTTTTATAAAATTATTAAAACAGGAAATGCTTTTTCAAATAGAAAATAAAACGACGATTCAAAATTGTTGCATCGAATTAAATTAGGTGAATTAAAAACTAAACGTTATATCCAAAAATTACCAAAAATTATAATTATAACAGGCAATATTTATTGTTTGTAAGTTATTATGTCACTAAAAATCCACTATCTATACAAAAATAAAAGAAAAACAGTCAAAACTACTATGTCATATCACAAGATTTTGTTTATTTGGAAAAAAGGTGCAAGTCTACGATCTAAATGAGATTTGTTTACATTATCGATACGTAGACTAACGTTATTTATCATTTTGGGATTTATTTGAGAGTAAAAAAATAATTGGTTCAACAATATCTTCTGCTTCTACAGAAACAAACAGAAAACTCATGAAAATTCGATTTTGTGGTTTTGGAGCTAGTAAATTTATTTAATGGAATTTTTGATAACATTCTAGCAGCTTTTTTTTATCAGGCCAACCTACTCATAGAAAATGATTGTTTAGTAAAAGAAATTTGAATATTAACCTATACAACCTATCTCTGTTATAAAAAACCTATATGTAACAAATAAAAGTAATGAAAAATGCACTATTGACTGGAATCTAAAACAAACAGATTAATGTTAGTTACCTGCAGATGCGAGAGACTTTTACTTAATGAGGACCTAATTTCATTGTCATTACACGTGTTAAGCCATCAACTGCTGCTGCTGCTTGACCTGATACATTAACAGCCAAACTAGACATTTCGCGTTCAACTAAATCACGTGCTATTTCCTGCCAAAATCCTTATTCTTATGTACATAAGTTAGATGATTTTAATTGCAAAAATATGAACTCCTATATAATAAATTGAAAATGAAGATAACTGACAAACACATATAATGGACTTGGCATTGATATTAAACAATGTTTATTAGATAAAAGAACAATATAAATATTTTATATTTGATTCAATTCTTTTACATATGCATCAGAACCATTGGAATTAACTTCTAAAAGGGAATGAAGGATAGCAACGACACTATTATTAAGTAATAATTGAGTTGTAAGATGTGGTCTGACAGCTTCTTTAGTTGCTTTCCAGTCATATAAATCAATACATACTGGAATAATCTTATTGCTTTATTTAAAACATAATATGCATGAATATATCTTCAATAGAATAAATCAAAATTCAAATGTTTTATTTGTGCAACAACCTTCGCTTCCAGTTCAGCCAGTCTTAAAGTTAATGGTTTATCTAAACCTACACAATCTTTTTCTTACGATATAACAAAGTATTTTATTGTGAAAATTGTTTTCAGTCATCTTAAAAACTTCTAAAGAGAAAAAAAAGAATTGCTCTGGTTTTTATCAAAAGTAATTGTAGAAAACTAATTTTCATAAAGAAAGCTAAACCTATAAACGAATAATTACCTGTTTCTTGAAATAAAAAAAATGAATGGAATTATTATTAGATTTTATGAATTACATATCAACTGATGTAGTTCATCGAGATCTATCGGATAATATGAGTTTCCGATATATTATGAAGGTGTGACAGGACACATCTGAGATCTTAGAAAGTATTTAATGCCTACCATTGCTTGTGTAGAAAAGAAATACATATCATTCGACAGAGCTCGTCAAGCTGACTATAAAGTTATAGGTAACGTTGTTGACATAGGCGCTAAAGCGAATTAGTTTGTTAAATATACTGCATACACCTGATGTAAAATAATTTATCAGTCTAAAGGTACGATGAGTCTGACTAATGATGAATATATGTATACCATTAGATAGAATACAAGAAACTGCGTCGAATAATAACGTATATTGTATGTGACACAATTCATGTAATGAATAGATTTGCGAAATATTTTAGCTTTGCACGTTTTTCGACGGTAGAAATTACTACTTTGATATCGCACATCATTTCATAGTTAGCATAAGTTATGGATCGAATCAGTAATTAACTTCCCTTACATATATAAAGCATAGAATGACTTTAGTATGATCGTAGTTTTATTGTACTCGAACATGCTAATGCATTCGATATTTCTAAGTAACTTTCCCTTCTGCAGGTTATCCTCCATAATTTTCTTCCTTTTTTTATTTTGTTAAATCATTATTTAGAGAACAGTAATCAACAGATCATACTAAATAAATAAATATCACAATGTGTAACATGAAATACACCGTTCGAATTCATGGTAAAAAATATCTATGACTGAAAAATTTCTACTCGATTTAGGTATGCTTCGCAATTAACTAAACCAAAAATAATATTAAAAAAAACGTATAAAAACTATTTAACCATCAATATCATGTCTTTATGTAAAAAAAAACAATGAATAATTCAAGGTCAAGCAAAATGAAAAATAATATATTTGATCAGAATATACTTTGTTATAAAGTTTGCTAATCAATCGTATGTACGAAAGATAAAAACACGCCCAATTAATATAAATATACATGTGCGTATAATTTCTTTTTATATATCGACTATGTGCAGAATAATGAGTAAAAAATTTATCTGTTCTCTACTAGTGAGACTATTTAATCGTCCAATGATCAAGCAATAAATAAAACAAAAACAAAGTATATTATTTATATATCTGTTTATATATTATATACATACGCATGTAATACACTAACTTTATATAACGTACTATTCGATAGAAACATTATCAATCTTTAAGTATTCGAATATTTAGTAAAAGAAATCATAATAAATACAATCGATCAATTATATATATCCGAGGTCAGTAAGTAAAGTCTCTCGATTTGTATGTTTATTTATTTTTTTTACCTAATAATTTATATTTAATATACCAGAGAACATATTTAGATGTTCACCTTTTGATAATGAGTAGACGTCGGTAAGCTATAAAAAAGATTCACTCCTCGGATATCGATATTTCAAGAATGTTGTCGTTATAACTTTTACTTTGATAGTTCATTATTCAAATTTTACTATGACATATCTTATTTGATCGAATCAGATAGCATTTATTCAAATAAAAGTTCATGAAGTATTTATCTATTTTAGATAAACGAAACTATATCGAAATAATTTAAATAATGGTATTCAAACATTTAGCTGTTCATTTACTTGATAAATATCTTGGAGATTATATAGAAAATTTTGATTCAAAAAGTCTGAAAGTTGGTTTATGGCATGGTAATTACATATTTTATTGTAATTTCTTAATTATCTATTTTTATTTTAGGTAATCTTACTATTGAAAATGCTTATGTAAAACAAAATGCATTGGTAAATCTAAATAATTCCTTTTTTCCACTATCAAATATAAAAATTTTAGGATGATTTAAATATTCCTGTCGAAATCATAACTGGTTTTATTGGTATATATTTTTTTAAAATTATTTCTTCTATTTTAAATATATATATTTAGAAAAATTAACAATTCATATTCCATGGAAACATTTCTATACGCATCCAACAAAAATTTCAATTCATGGATTTTATTTACTTTTAAAAACAAGAACTGGTTTGAACTATTATTTTTTTTTCATAAAATCATATTTTGTTCTATTAGAAATCGTTTATAATTCTCAAAAATTTGAAGAACAAGAATATCGTTCGAAAATGAAACGAGTAGAGAAAGTCGAAAAATTTCATCGTAAACGAGAAGAATACAGTAAGTATTTTATATGTTTTTGTCAAATGAATTTCTATTTATTTAAGAATATTTTGGAAAAAATCCCAAACGTAAAGATAAATTTTTTCAACGTTTAAAATTTCATATTCTTCGTAATCTTGAAATCACAATTGAAAATGTACATATTCAATATCAAGATAAATATACGCGACCTTTTCATCCATTTACATTTAATCTCACATTCAATTATATTAAACTTACTGTAAGAAATCATAAATAAAAAAATTTTTTATGTAAAATTTTTCGTTAGGCAACAAATGCTGAACGAGAAGATTCAAAAATACTCTTCAAAGTAAAGTTTTCTTTAAATTAACGAGGATATATTGTTTATAATTCAATATAGCTCGGTGAAATCAATAATTTATCGATTTATTGGAGTGCCAATATTGAACCCTATGATAATTTACCAAAAGAAGATGTTATTGTATGTTTTATAAAGGTATTCTTTTTTTTCCTATCGGAAGATTTATTTAGAAAAAAATTTAAATTACAAATAAATGAGCATCTCAAAACAAATATTGCACAACAGAATTACAGTAATTTGATTATTTCATATAATGTATTGCTTTTCGGTCTTTTGTTAAAGTTCTTCGACCATTGAATGCAACCGCTAAATTTGAAATAGCAAAAAAACCTCAAAAACAAGATTTTCAACGACCGATTTTACAAGCAAAAATTCTTTTCCAAGAAATTAATTTAAATATGAATCCAGATCAAGTTAATAATACTTAATAAATTCTGTTTTTCTAAATTTTAGTTTCGATTATTTTTTTAGTATGCAGATATTCTTGCATTTCTTGAATTTTTTCAATATTATACTACAAGAGCGAAATATGTGAAATATTACGCACTTAAAAATGCTCTTCAAGCGGAAAAACCAAGTATACGACGGTAATTAATTTTTTTGAATGAAGATGATTTATGAATTGTTTTGTTTTAGATGGAAATTTGCTTATAATGTAATCTTGAATGAACAAATTCGACCGAGACTTGCTTCTTATCAATGGAAAAATATTAAATTATATTTAGATCGATCAAAACAATATTATTTGTTTTATTATCAACAAATAACTGCACGTCTTACTAAAGATGAAAAACAACGTATGGAAGTATGATACAATAATCATTAATTATTTCATATTGATTTTCTCATTTGAAATTTTAGGAATTAGAAAAAAAAATCAATACATTTAATTTAATTTATGTTCGTCGAGTAGCTCAAATTATGGTAAAAAATATTTTCTCTTTTTTTATTTAATAATAGTTTATTTAGGCTAAAAAACGAAAACCAAATACAAAGGAACTATCTTCCGGAGAGAAACTATCTAATTGGTGGAAACAACATCATGCCAATGATGATGATGATCCAGGTACAGTTTTTATCATACATATTAGGATTAAAATTATTTATTCTAGAATTACAATCTGATAATATTTTGTCAAACGAAGAACGACAAGAACTTTATGAAGCTATCGGTTATGAAGATGAACAGAAAGTATTATTGTATCCATCAGAGGTATTTATATTAAACTTATTCTTACCGATTAAACACGTATACCTTGTACAAATTGATTGAGACATAATTGATCAGCAAGAGAAAGTTCTAGTATCGCGATTAAAGACTGTATAGACTCCAATCAGTGGCGGATTTAGGAGGGGGGCGGTCGCTCCTCCCTCCAGAATTCTTTTTTGATTTTTTTACAGTAAAAATAGGTTCACACTACTTCGACTGGGCTCAAAAAATAGTTTTTAGCCGAAATCGTCCCCTCCCTTCCAAAATCCTACATCCGCCACTGACTTCAATGAAGTCTGAAAAACTCAGAGTTAGTCGAATTAATAGAGTTAGTTTCGTGCGATGAATCAGTAAAGTTACCATCGAATGATTTCGGATACATGTCAATGAAGAAAAGAAATTTTACCCATGTCATAATGTACTTATTAATTTTAGTATATTGATATTGATATCTCTGTTGGTTTCAATACAATCAAAGCTAATGTTTGGTCAAATAATAATGAAAATGATATACAGTAATTATGAATGTATTTTAGTAATTATTTTTGATTATATTGTAATTAGAGCTAAATCAATCGCTTGTGCAACAATATCAAATACTGATTTTATTTATACACATCGTCCTGCTAAAGATGATTTTTCGTAAGTAAAATGTTATCTGAATTCTTATCTGTATTTGTTTTTTTTTGAATAGATTTCAACTTGATATTGATTCATTAGAAATGTATGGAAATCAATCGGAATTAAATCGAGAAGGTATTATTAATTTAAATCAACCTGTTCTTATTCAATCGCATAATAAATCACAAAATAATAAAGAAAAATTGTTACATATTCAATTTGAAACACATCCACTCAATCAAACATGTGATTATCGTATCATAGGTCGTTTACAATCTTTTGATATCGTATATCATGCAGTAATTTACTTCTTAATCATTGTTATAAATAATTCTAATCTACTATTTAGGTAACAATTAAAAATCTTTTTGAAATATTCATTCCTGATAAAAATCATCATTTAGAACAGTTAGAAAATAATTCTTTTTTTCGATTTATTTATTTATTTATTTATAATTTATAGAACAAAAGAAGTTGCTTATTCATTATATACAGATATAAAAAATGATACGCAATTTTTATTAAATGAAAATGTTAAAAAAATGAAAGATTTAGATATTAGTATTGATTGTCAATCCGTATTTATTATTTTACCTGAACATGATGATTTAGCGAGGTAAATTGATATTAAATATGAATTATTTAACTATTTTTGATTTTAGTTCTTCGCCATCAATTTGTTTAGATTTAGGTCATTTAACATTTAAAGGTGGAAAGAAAAATATTCCTCATCAAAAAGAAATACTTCCTAATACTGAAGTAAAAAAAAATCTACATGTTTTTTTTTCAATAAGATTTTATTTATTTAGAATAATCAAGATATTGTCGAATCATCATCTATTCCAATAAAACTAAAACTTGAAAGTACGAGATTAGTCTATTGCAAGAAAGGTAAAATAAATTTAATAAATTCAATTCTAATAATTAATGTGTTTGATTTAGATCAAGATTGGAAAATTATTCTGAATGGGAATGATACATCATCTTATATTATTAAACCAATAACAATTATTTTAGATATAAACAAATCAACTTGTATGGATGATTTCAATATACCAATGTAAATTATTTCTTATTTTTCATTATTAGAGCTAAGTTTGAAATGATCTACATGTACCAGATTTCTTCCATAAGATTATAGTCTTTCATCTGTAAGCCATAGTAGAGAGGGGCGCGATTTTGGCTAAAAACTATTTTTTGAGTTCAATCGAAGTAGTGTGAACCTATTTTTTCGTTTATTTTTGCTGTAAAAAATCAAAAAATATATCTGTAGGGAGGGCGTCCACCCCCCCCCCCCCCTTAAATCCGCCACTGAGTAAAAGTTGCTGTAATTCGAAGATTTTTTTGATAATAGACTATAACTGAAGATCATACGATATGTACTCAAAGAGAAAAAAATAATCTATATTTACTTTTCTTTTGATTGCATTAAAATATTATCTTGAAATCAATCTAACACTGTCTAATAAAAATTACTAATCTCAATTTCTTCGAGAATAAGTGAAAATTAGAGAGCTCATTTTCTTTTGAGTTTTATCCATAGACAAAATATATGTAGTTAAATATTCATCAAGTGCATCATAACAAAAGAAATTGAGTCTTGTCTGATATTCAAATATACACCCTCAACTTGAGAACTATTTGCGTAAAATTTTGATCTATTATTTTTTTTCTTTAGTTGGAAAGTCGATGGTGAAATTACAAAACTTGAATCGCAATTATCTGATAAACGTATATTCGAAATTGTAAATGTTGTTCGATCAATGCCACTTCCTCAAATAAAATCGAACGACGAAGCTAATATTGCAGTGAGTTGTATTATTTCTCGTCAAACAAAATTCTTATATTATTTTTAATAGAAATTAAATACAAAAGATGGAAAACGTCAAAGTGTAAAGAAAATCGATGAAACAATCGAAAAAATGACATCTTCGAAAATAGCTAAAACTGAACATCAAACTCAATCAGATCAAATTCAGTCTCACCAACAAATAACACAAATTCAAGCTAGTTTCAAAATTCCAGCTGTAAGTTAAAGATCTATTAGAATTTCGTAATAAATGTATATATTCATAGATAACCATATCTGTGGAACAATGTCCAATGGATTTATCGGATTCCAATGAACCATTTATTGAATTATCATTTGTCTCAATAATTATTGAAGCTAAAATGAAAACTTATGATATTGAATTTAATTTTTCTCTTGAAGATTTTTACCTAATTCATCAACAATTTGAAACAAAAGATAATAAAAAACTTTATTTAATTGGTAATCAACATAATGATAATACGAAATTATTAATTATCAATGGTTTATTAACATCTATTGAAAATCCATTATTTTCCTCATCACCTTATAATTCAATTGAAAATAAAATTCATATAAATTTTTCTCAATCAAATTTAAATATTCAATTAGAAGCGTTAACATCAATACTTATATTTAAAAATAATATTGTCAAGCAATTTTCTCAAAAACAAATCAAATCAGATTCTACTAAGACGAAAAAACCGAAGAAAAAATCGAAAAAATCTTCATTTGAAATTGAATTTAATTTAAATGAATTTCATATTCTTATTGGAAATCAATATACGCAATTATTATATATAAAATTACAAGGTGTACGAAGTAATTTATCTCGATCAAGTGTGAAAAATTCAATTAATTTGATTATTAAAGATTTTAATGTTATTGATCCTTCACATGATGGTCGATTTAAATCAATTATTTCAAAAGAAAATCAAGAAAATGATTTAGTATCAATTAATTTATCGTTATTGAAATATTCGAAGAAGTTTCTTAATCAAATTGATTCACATATCGATGGACAAGTAGAAAAAGTCAATGTTTTTCTTCTTTATAAACATATTGAACTTATTCAAACTATTCTTAATGCATTTCAAGGAAAAAAATCAACTAAAGAAAAGACTCCGTCTAATGAACCTTCATTTTTACAAAAACAAACATCTAAACTTCATTTCGAAGTTAATATCAATGGACCAAGAATATTTATTCCAAAACATTCATATTCTAATGAAGCAATTCTTATTGATTTAGGTCAATTAACTGTACAAACAAATCCTATTAATAATCAAATTCAATCAGTTATTGAAGAATATAAAATTATTTTTCAAAATTTATTAGTAAATCGTGTTAAATTAAACGATACAAATCAAATTGAAGAACATATTAATTTGTTAGATTGCTCACCATTAACTATTCTAATTAATCATCATTTAAATATTGAAACTCTTGCAGAAAATCAAGCAAAATTTTCAATAAAATTTCAATGGGATAAAATTGATTTTTTCATTCATCAAGAAGATTATTTATTTTTCATAGAAATCTATGAAGAAAATTTTAAAGAAAAAATTTATCATAAAATTCCACAAGAACAAAAAGCAATTGAAGAAAATGAAGAATTATCAGATAAACCTGTTAAAAAACAAAAAGTCTTAAAACAAAAAGATAAGAAAATATATCAATTAATTGCAATTAATCTTCTTATAAAACAAATTAATTTAACACTTTATCATGATCAAAATGCGAAATTACTTTATTTAGAATTTGAAAATATACAAATAGATTTTCAACAATTTTCAAATTCAACTTACAATGGACAAGCACAAATATTTAATTTAATAGTCGATTATTTATATTCAAATGATAATCACAATTCAATCAAACGTATTATTGATAAGAATTGGAATATCGAACAAGATAAATCAATTTTAAGTATTAATCTACAATATAAACCATCAAATGAAGATAATTCAACATTTATTCGACAAGGTCTTGTTCTCGATTAATATATATATATGTATATTAATTTAATATTTTTTAGTTGATGGAGGATTGGAAAATTTTTACATTTGTATCAGTCCAAATTATTTGATTTCATTAAAAGATTTCTTCACTTCGAAAATAGCCATTCAAAAAGGTGTGAATCGTGAAACAATAATAAATGTCAACAAACAAATATGTAATGATATGAATAATGAGATTCCAGCTCCAGCTAAATTCGTATCGAAATATCCATTAAAACAAGAATCAAATGAAGAAGAAACATCCATGGATGATGATTCTCAAATAACAACAAACGATCAAGGTATGTATATTCTTTCGTAAATAGATAAATTGAATATGAATTTCTATACTTTAGATTCATCATTCTCTGTTGAGAATAAAATTAATTTAAATATAAAATCTTGTCAATTTATTGTGATTGAAGATGAAACGAATCAAAATTCAAATTGTCTTGTACTCGAAGTAAGTTAATAAATTTTGTTTTTTTTCGAAAATAAAAAAACTATTATAATTATTATCAAGTTATCAGTGGCAATGCATATGATGAATGCGAATAAAACAAATAAAATTGAAGGTTCATTTGAAAATTTAACTATTTATGCATCGAATTTCGAAGAATTAAAACAATCAAAAATAAAATATGATGTAAGAATATTTTTATTGAATACATATTTAACAATAAACTAATTAAATAGATTTTACAACCGACTAAAATTAATGTAACATTAGTCACCAATCCTAATGAACAAATAATCGATGTACGCATTGGAAATATATCTGTTAATATAAATCCAACATTAATTAGTACAATTGCTTCTTTGAAAAATTCAATGGGAAAACAACAAGTATAGAGTTTATTATGATTATTTTTTGATTAAATATAGAGAAATTTATTTAGACTAATATTACATATGAAAAAGATAAAATAAATTCAAAATCAATATTTGATCCAAAACCATTTAAAGATTCAAGTTTTTGGTTTATTCAAGGTCTTTTTTTATATTCAATTTCTTATCGAATTTTATTTATTTATATTTTAAAGATCCTCAAGAAAAAGAAGATACATTAGAACAAACAGATATATTAGAAATAACTACAGGTACACCTTCGAAAAGAAAATCGATCATTCAACAACAAAACAAACAAAAAAAAATTCATAAACATAAAAATATTCATCAACAAGTATGTATTCATATTTCGTCTAAAAATATTACACATTTCAAGCACTTAGTATTAAGAGGACGAGGACGGATAAGGCCGTTTTTTTTCTGATGAAATCTTGAGGGTGGGTGCGGGTCGAAAAGTTGATTGAGAACTGTTGCAAAATTAACGATTGGAATATCATTAGGAGACATCCCTCACTTGATTTTAAAACAAAAGACCGAGATATTTGGGAGGACACGGAAACGGCCTTATCCACCCTCGTCCTTTAGTACCGGTATTTACATTATGCCTTCACATATGGGTATTGATTGAGAGAATAGACACCCATACCCTATCTGATGTATTAAAATAATATAAATTTTATTTTTTAGTTAACTGTAAGTTTGAAGACAGCTGAAGTTAAAATTCAATATGGCTCTGGTTTAACAACGCGACCAGTTCTTGCATTGTGTTTATCGGAAATATTTACTCATCTTGAAAATTGGTCTACCGATGTATTTTTATTTAATATTTAATTTGTTGATATAATTGTAAAATCAATTATTTATTTAGTTATCGATTACTGCATCAATTCAAATTGAATTGGCTTTATTTAATGATCATTTACTTGCTTGGGAACCACTTATTGAACCGATTATTGATCAACGTAGTCACACTATCTCTCCGTGGTCTATCAAATGTCAGACCGTCACTGTAAATCATATAAATTATTGTCATCAATTTAACTATAATTTTTTTCTTCTATTCGTAGGATCATAAAGACGAAAATGAAGCGAAGGTAATTATCGAGGAGAATTGAATTAAATATTATTGATTTGTATTCTTTTAGTATCGATTTTTACTTGACGATGAAAAATCGTTAAATTCAAAGGAAGAAGAAGAAGAAAATGATAGTGACTTTGATGTTAAGAAAATTATATTTATTCGAGCTGATCATTTACTAAATATAACACTAACCAAAACCGGTGTAGTTCTTGCTCAACGCTTATTCAAGATGTTTAGCGATGCTTATAAGAAGAAATCATCAACAATTGAGCAAGATGATCAATCAATATTATCCATACATAATCATACTGGTTATGAACTTACTATTGTTGATTTAAATGGAATTGAGGTAATTGTTAATACAGATTATTTTGATCTATTGATTACGAGAATGTGTCGTTTTTTTTGAAGTTTACTGAAAATGACGAATCAAATAAAGATTCAATTTTACAAAATGGTGAATCAGTTAAATTGACAGTACCTAGTGAACGATTAGATGCAACTCATCTTCCAACAATTGCAGAACAAGTTGATCATAGAAAACAAGAATTTTCTGTTAAAGTAATTCTCGTTTTTTTTTTAATTTGATTATTTTCTATGAAATATATATTTTTAATTAAGATTGGTGAACAATTAATTAAATTAGATATAAATCAAACATGGAGACGAGTTTATGAAATCCGCGCATCACCAATTCCTAATTGGCCAATTCAAATGCTTTGTAATTCACATATATATGAAGATCGTAGACGAATTATTCTTAGTTCAATCATTAAAGTAAACTTATCTATCAGAATATATTTTATTTGCAAATTTTGTTTTTTTTTGAATTCAAGATAACTAATGGAACAAAAACGCCTTTAATTATTTTGGATGCTGATTCAGTTGAAACAAGGAAATTTCATCGTATTGCACAAATTGATGTTAATCAAGAATTTTATCTTCCAATTGATCCTCTTTATCTTCGATCGAGTCCACGATTATACTTCACTATTGAACAGTAAGATTATTTTATCAACTATTCGTTATTAGTCGTGTATGAATACAAATACAACTTGCACTGAGATTGTTCAATAGTTATATATGAAGATCGCGATTAGGGATGTGCGGGACTAGTTTTTTGTGGTGCTAGTCTCGATAAAACTTAACGGAATCGGAGCTGTTGATGCAAGTTGTATCCTTATCTTTTTTATCTAGTTTTCGATATTTGCGATTTATCACTATGTATAGATTTTCCTCAATGTAAAAATATTGAATTACTCCGAAGAATTTTTCGAGAGAAAAAAATAGACGATCAAGTTCTATTGTTTGATAGTGATATGAAGATGTATTGAATAAGAGTTTAGTTTAAAAGAATAGATTATGCATGATGTGATTTTTAGAGATGATTCAATGGATGAATTGTATGACTTTATATCATTTGATTGGGCAAATGAATCAAATAGTGATCGAGTATTAAAATTGAAAGATGGTAAAGAAACTCATTATGTGGTATGTTCATTTGATTTAACCGAAATATTTTTATGTTAATTACGATTTTATTTAGATTTATAAAGAATCACTTGAAGCTTATTCAGAAAATACCGATGAACCTATTAGAAGTTCATTTAATATTTCTATTCAATTGGCTGTTCATATTATTAATCTTTTACCAATTAATATTCTTTGTTCAATCGATGTGAATGAAATAATATTTACTTTTTTCTCATTTATTTAATCTATTATAGAACACTGAAAAAGTTGATCTCAAATCAGGCGAATTATATCATGCAACAACTGGAAATAAACAATCTAGTCTCGTTTTTACGGTATTTTATATAACTTTATGAGTTAGAGATGTATTCTGTAATTTCTATCTCGAAGATATGTTTAGTTAATAATTTAAGCTACCAATAAAGAATATCTTTTCAAACGAAAATATTTTTTAAAGTGACGTATCCAAGGAATGACTCTTAGGAGAAGAATGAGTTGCATCGCTCTACTTGACTTACATAAGATAAAATCTTAGCTACGGTACTAGTCATAAAAATTCTATTATATTTATTTAGATTCCATCACACAATAATGTTACATGGATATCTGAACCAATTAATATAGGTACAAAAGGTAAAGGAGCACATAATGAACATATTGTTGAATTCCATAATGCCTCAACAAATGAAATAATGGTAAAATAAATAAATAAATGAAAATAAATAAATTGTAAAAATATATTATTTAAAGAGAATGGTATTACGTGTTGATATATGTCGACAAGCATATCGTGCATCATTTTATTCTCCATATTGGCTTATCAATTCTACTGATCTTAAATTTCAATTTCAAGTATTCAAATTTTTCTATTTAATTTTCTTATTATCAATTATTTATTTCACTGTAGCTTGAACATGAGATGGTTTATATTGATACTACTAATGAACCATATTTTATATGTCCAAAAGGATTTCATAGTAATTCACATAAAAAGGTTATAATTTTTATATAATAAACTAATTTCTATTACTCTTATATATATTAGGCTAATATTAGGTTATATAGTGCTGTAGATGATGAAAGTGTTTCTCAATGGTCGGAAGGTTTTTCTGTTAATGTTATTAAAAGTACAGGAATAGCAACTTGTAATATACTTAATGATAGACTTTATATGGTAAAATCAAATCTTTATTTTCCTATATAAATTAAAGATTTATTGTATAAAAAGGTTTGTGTTAATATTGTTACTTCTTCATTTGGTATGACAAAAATCATAACAATTGCTCCATCAATAACTGTTATTAACAATGCATCCGTATGAAATTTATTTTCTTCAATAAATATATTTTCATATAATATTTGAATTTAGATTGGTATTGATATTATTGAAACTGTATCTGGTATCGAACAAGATAAATGGAAATCAGTTAAACCTGAAGAGGTATTTTTATTTTTTTTAAATATGAATAATAAAATAAATTTATTTATTTAGATAATTCCATTTTGGCCACATAATATAAAAGATGGTGTAATGCGTGTACGTTATTCACATAATATACAAGCATCATGTGGTTTTTCAATAAATGATAAACATCGAACATTATTATATATGAATGATGAAGAACTTCCTGCAATTGATGTTCAAATAAATATAACAGATTTTGATGGATATAGAATTGTTTTTTCTGATTATAAAAATGGTGATGCACCTATTTTAATTGTTAATACATTGATTAATCAATCAATTACATTCAATCAAAAAGGCGATTCGTATGAGTTTACTTTTCTTTTTATATACGTGACGAAAAATAAATTCATTTTCCTAGACGAACACAAACTTTACCTGCACAAAATTATGTTTATTATACATGGATTGATCCATTTAAACCATGTGAATTAGATATTTCGGCTAATAAAAAAACTGTAACAATAAAACTAGATGTAAGTTTATTTTTAAAGATTGTTCATGGTTCAGAATATACGCTACATAGAATTTTAACTGATAGCCCTAAATCCGGATGAAATTTTTTGAAAATGAGATAGACGAGAATTTTTTATAATTTGTATAACGTATAACTATTTTATAAGTGTATTAAATATTCAGAATGCTTCTTTCTGTGAAGAGATAAGGACTCATATGTCTTCGTTAGAGAGCTATTTAGACGTGTACAGAGTAAGCGTTTTCATTATCCTGCATCCTACTGTATCCTACGCGCGTCGTACCCTGACCCTGGTCCTAGTCGGTAGGGTATGGCGCCCCTGAACATCTCTAGGAGCTATAGACGAAAATTTTTATTACAATCAGATGTTTCGTATGCGAAATAATTAATGTAATACAAAACTCGATTTTCTTAGCTCTTTTTAAAGTATCATCTTGCAAAAGAAATACCCATTTCGATTGAAATTTTTTTTGTTCATATTGTTACCAATAAGACAAAGATTTATGATGAAATTTTTAAATAAATAAATATTATTTCTATTGAAGCCTGCTAGTGGTGTTATTGAAGAAGATAATGAAGAAAATATTTATTATGGTATATTTCATGATGGTCCACAAACAGTATTATTATTTTCTTGTGATATGACAATTATTCGATCAGTTACAGACGTATGAAAATTTATTTGTGTTTTTCGAAATTTAATATTTTTGTTTTTATTTAGTCATCATTATTAGATGAACCAATAAAGAATTATATTCAAATAATTGCACGTCAGATTGGTATATCGATTATTGATGATGTTAATCGAAATGATTTATTATATATAACTATTAATCAATCAAAAAATATTTGGGTTGAAAAACAAAAATATAATATTAGACCAATTTCTCCTTCTCTAAATAATTATTTAGAAGATAATTATAATCTATATATTGGACGCCACCACCATCATCGTCATCTTCATCATCTTCATCACCATCATCATCATGATACGAAACAAGAAATTAGAGAGAATAGATATAGAATTGACGAACATCGCGTAAGTTTTTAATAAAATGAACTTTATAGAATTTCTCAATAAAACCTTCTTTGGATATATAGATCGTATCATTTAATGAAAATGTAGCTGAAATAAGTGATGATAAAGGTAATCATGTATGTATTAGATATGAAAAACTTGATGCAATATGGATTGGATATGCATGGTCAATAAGTAAAGTTGCTATTCATGCTCGAATTAATGATATACAAATTGATGATCAACTCGAATATACATTATTTCCAACAAGTCTTTATCCACTTATTTCAAAATCAGCAGGAACTGATTTACGTAAGAAATATTATTTAAATTGTATGAAGAGAAAACATAATTTTTTTTGTATTTTGATTTTAGCTGGAAAACCATTTATTGAATTAAGTGTATTCAAAAGTAAATCAATGAGAGCAAATACAATTCATTTCAAGTATTTATTGAATATAAATATATGTATATTTAATAAGGAATTTTATTTGGATTTAGATATTTTAAATTACTTATTCAAGAAGTTGCTCTTTGTGTTGATCAAGATTTGATCTTAGCTCTATTTCGATTTTTCAAAGCTGACAAAGTTTGCTGTTTTTAATTTTTATTTATATATTTATTTCGAAATATATATAGAATCCTGTAGCATCTTCAATGAATATGGATACAGATATAATGCATATTAAAAAACCACTTGATTCATTAATTCAAAGTGAAACACATCAACCATCATCTGATATGGAAATTTATTTTGATAATCTTCATTTATCACCAGTGAAGGTATAATTAAATTTATAAACACTTAGTTTTGTTATGGGCTACTCTCTCTCGCGTTTGTGCATATGAATAATGACATATATTAATTGTACAGTGAGCGTAAGAGAGGAGGACAACGAAGTTTGTGCGATGAAATCGAGAGGAGATTCCCGACACTCGCCAATCGAAGTAAGTCCACAGGGTATATTGGCGAATGTACACTGTATTTTCATCAGCTGGCGGAAAATTTTACTGAAGTTCTACTATTTCTTATTTACGAATACTGACAAAGATTCTATGATAAGATCCAAGATGAGTTGATACATCTTCTTGCTTCCATTTGTGACAGTCCACGGGTAAACAACAGAGACTTCATGCCTGAAGTCTCATGAAATCTTCTGAATTTCTATAGATGCATTTATTTCACGAGGGGACGAGGGAGGAACAACGGAGACTTCACGCATGAAGTCTTGGAAGTCTCTTGAAGTCTTGAAGACCGCTGTTACCTCCTTGGTAACAATCAATAAAGACTTTTACATGTATGAGCGACTTTTACTGATAACAGTTCTGTGGACTTTCGCTATTGGCGAGCGTCCAGTTAGTGAAAATCTTATTGGCGAGATTTGGGTAAGCCATGGAGAGTATGCGTCGCAGTTTTTAATTCTTTATACTAACATATGTTGCAGTACTGTTCAAAACTGTAAATGCAGATTGATTTCTAATGTATTTTTCTCTGTTGTTTTGTGCGATCAATGTAATCTGAAAATTAATTGACCTCTAGTTCATTGTATTACCATGTATACATTATAGTTTATATGAAGGACGCGATATTCATTTCTTAAATGCGATTATCTCATTGAATTTTTTCTTATAGATTCATGTTAGTTTTTCTATTCATGGTTCAAAGCCAAATAAACAATTACTTGCTGAACATCCATTAGCAGATTTCATTTTAGAAATATTGAATGTAGCTGAAGTACAAGATGTTATATTAAAGTATGTTTTAATTATTTAAACGAAGAGAAATTGTTGTTTTTTTGTATAAAAATAATTAGATTAAATTTTTATGAACGAAAAAATGAACGATATACAATTAATAAATTAACAACAGATATAATTAATCATTATGAACATCAATTGTTAAAACAAATTCATGCTGTTATATTAGGTCTTGATGTTCTTGGAAATCCATTTGGTGTTATTCGAAGTATTGCTCATGGTGTTGAATCATTTTTTTATGAACCATTACAAGTAAAATCAAATTTCATATAACACTTAAAATTTTTTTGTTATTGAAGGGTGCAATGGAAGGTCCAAGAGAATTTATTCATGGCTTTGGAACAGGTACAAAATATTTAGTAGGTTCAGTTGTTAGTAGTACTGCTGGTGCACTTTCTAAAGTAACTGATGCAGCAAGTAAAAGCTTAGCAACATTAACATTAGATAAAGATTATCAAAATGTTAAAATGCAACGTAGAGAATTACTTACTCCACATACATTTCACATTGTTTCAAGTGGAAAAAATACAGCTAAGGTTATTTTGTCATTGAATAAGTTTTTTTGTTATATATTTTCTAAAAAATTTAGGATATTGTATCAGGTTTTAAAGGTCTTGTCAAGAAGCCAGTTGAAGGTGCAAAAGAAGGTGGTCGTGAAGGATTCGTCAAAGGTGTCGGCAAAGGTTTTCTTGGTCTTGTTGGAAAACCTACAAGTGGTATTGCTGACTTAACAAGTACATCATTGGATTCAATTAAAAGGTATTCGAAATAAAAAACTTTACTTTTGATAATTAATTCTTTATTTATATGAAGAGTTGTAACACATGAACAAAGTATTTATCGTATCCGACATCCACGACATATCGGCCGAGATGGAATTATTCGACCTTCTATTGCTCACGAAATGTTCGGAAAATATATATTAGATGTACGTTTATTTATTATACTTCGAGTGAAGCTTTTTTCATCGAAAATATTTTTATTTATTTAGAAAATTGAACAAGAAGAACATGGTAAAACAGAAGACTATATAGCTCATATTAAATGCTTAGAAGAATCGTCCAGTTATTTTTTTGCTACTACAAGGTAAGAAATAATATTTCTTTAAGACAGAATTTAATATTAAATATTTAGACGAGTTTTATTAATCAATCGAGATTCTTCTTCATCGGATTGTTATACTGTTGAATGGCATCATCCTTATAAACATATGAAAGAATTACCTCAAGTAAAATTTAATCCATATCAAATTGAAATTATTTTCAAAGTAATTATAAAATTGAATATTTATTTTGCATAGAAAAAATTTTTCTAGGAAATTAATAAACTTAAAATGGCAAAAAAAGATCGAGTACATACTAGAATAGTGCCTTATCGTATTATTGGTGAAGCTCGGGTAATTTATTTTTTAAAATATATCTTCTATATGTTTTTCTTTTATAATAGTATATTGTCGATAAAATCACGGAAACAATGCAAACATTACAAATCTAAGTCATCGATTCATTATCTTGATTAAGAAAAAAACAATAATTATTTATTTGTTTCTTTTTAGTAATCGATATTATTTTTTTATTCCTGCAATTAATATAACAGAATGTTTGAAAATTTAATACATAATAACATTTGCAATTAAAGTGCAAAAATCTAAATATGAATGTTTTACTTAAATTCTATCTTTTAAAAGTACATTAGACGTGCCATCAATACGTTCATTTTGTGTTGATTGTAGAATGACAACGAATACTCGTTATTGTTAGTGAAATTTTTACGCATAAACAGATTGTGTATGATGAAAGATAAAATCTTCGTAAGGATATAAGTTTTGTATTCATTTTATAGTCAAACACATATCCATACTCCAAAGATTACTCTATCCTATGTTAGAAGAGATCTTCTGATTGGAATAAATACTTTTTGTAAATGGTATGTTCTTTCCGATCAAAATACTTAAGAGAGAAGATATGAGCATTGGTACAGCTAGTATGTTCAATTATCAAATTCATCTACATTCACACTCTCTATAAATTGTTGTTATTTTATTCGAAATTTTAAGTCCGTATAAATCATACTTTATAAAATAGTACTAAAATAAATCACTTTTGTGCGTTTTCATCTATAAAATACTGTTACAGTTATAAGAATAGCTAGATTATTACCATGCCATAGTCTCTCCATTCCAAGTAATAAATCGTCCATTTAAATTTTCTTTTGTAAAAACAGCGTTATTCAAAATTCCGTCTGCACTCTCTTCTGGTTGTATATGTGGCATTGCACCAGGTAATTTCAAATCAGGTCGCATGTCGGTGGCAACAGTGCCGGGGTGAACTGCTACGATGGCAAATCCTTCGCTTTCCAATTCTTTTGCAAAAACACTGGTGATCATACCTAATGCACATTTTGCAGTCGAATATGCAATTTGTCTTCCAGGATTCATTGCATGACTGCCAAGTAATGAAGAAATATTAATAATTTTTTTCATAAGACCATTCCTAAGCAATGGAAGTGATTGTTGAATAACCAGCAATGGACCGAGCGTGTTAATTTCGAATGCATCCATCATATCAGAACGAGAAACATTTTCTCCTTTTTTCGTTTTATCAGGTGCATATCCAGCATTATTAATAAGTACATCGAGACTAGTAGAAAGATTTGATATTTTTAAAAATGCATCTGTAATACTCTTTTCTATTCCAACATCCATTTCAATAATATGTAATCGATCATGATTAGCTTCCTTCAAGTCGGATAGTGCGCTAGTATTTGAACGAGTAGTACCAATAACAATATTATTCACATCTTTGATAAGTTTCTGAATGAGACAGAAACCAATACCACGATTGCAACCAGTGACAAGGATTGTTTTCTTCATACTAAAATCAAATAATATTGATAGTCGAATCAGAAATAATTTATAGGATATATATATCGTTATAGTTGTAGTTCTGGAAAACATCAAAATAACCTTACTTTTTTTGCTTCGTTCTTTTCTTAATAAAACTTTTTACACATGCGCACGTTACTCTTGTTTTGTCGATCGAATGAATTTCCACTACGACCAATTACCTGCAGCTTCAGTTACTTTTTCTTTTCTTTTGTGCGCAATTAACAGCATTTATTTTTTTCTCTCTCTTTCTTTCTTTACTCGAGTTACTCTTCATGTATATATATGAGCAGTAACGACAAACAAATAATTTTAACTCAGTAGATTTAGAACCCATTGTTCAATGATAGTTTTCTTAGTGGTGATTAATTCTCTTCGATAGACTGAAAATGAAATAAAATAGGCATAACTTGAGAAGAAAGAATTGGTAGAAAAATCGATGATCTAGTGGTTAAATAAAAGTTCATTTTTAAAATGACATTGAGACAATAGATAAGCAGTTGTGATAGAAAAAAAGTCTTATTTTTGATTATAATTTTCTTTTTATTCTCTTATTGAATTTTAAAGTAATATTTTTAAAAGAAATGAAACACATTGGATATATTTTCATAAGTTTTTTTATTTGTGATATTAATGTATGAGTATGAATAAAAAATTTACATAAGTGCAAGGTAAAATAAATATCTTTTGACAAGTAATCTAGACCTTGAACATAAAACAGATCGATAAGCACATAACAATTAACCTTCGATGTCACGACCCGAAGAACTTACAGGAATTTAATGTATATACATATGAATTAATCGTATACAATCGCGACATAAAAAGTGTCGACGAAGAGCGAGAAAGTTGTAAAGTTTATTGAATAGACGAAACTAGAATCATATTGCAATAGTACACAAGAGCGCTTTTATAAATTTTTTCTATCATCTGTTATGCGACATATTTATATACAACAAGTTTTCATTTCACAATATTGTAAATTATATTAACTTGATATTTGTTCATATAAATATGAAATTGCTTCTTTTTCTTATGGTGTTGGTCTGTAATAATGGTCGTATTTCAAGTCTCATTTGTTATTATGGAATTGCAGACTCTTCAGTTCCTCTGATAACATTAAATACAAATATTGTGTCAAATAAATGTGATAATGATACATGCGTTTGCGCAAATTACAAATCTGTTTGTTACAACAGTGCTCAAAACTGTACAATACAAGATCAATCAGTACAAAAATGGATATGGACGGTTAAAGGAAACACAACATGTCAACAGATGTTAACACAATCCAATGCATATAAGAGTGTAACATGTTGTTATACAAATTATTGTAATAATCAACATGTAAACACAACTATTAGAATACAAACTAGTTTTTATCTTTATATTATGTTTATTAGATTTCTTTTAATCTTTAAATAAATAGTTGAATGAATTAATTTGAATAAAAAATATTTTTACATTGATTTTAAAATAGAAACTTTGATCATTCATAGAAATAACTCAAGAAAAAAGTCTGATAAGAATCATATTAAATTTCTGTCTGATTCCGAAAGTTCAATTAGTGATCTTATAATAGACACGAAATCTTTAATAGTTATCTAATCTTATTCGCTATAGAAGAAAAATTATAACTGATTTGAAGTATTGAGAAAAATTTCGAATGAATGTAAGTTCTATTTTCATGAATCGTATTCCTTAAAATACATATGTATATGACAACAGCATAAATAGAACTGTTCATGTTAATATATATTTATTTTAGATTGTGTTGACACAATCTCATTTATTGGTAACTCTATTTGTATCAATAGATTGATAAAGTGATATATGTTTCATAATTACAATCAGTGAGAATTGTAGATGAGTAACTATATACATACACTCTCTCAATTTATTCATAATATAACTTAGCTTATTGATATTTTGAATGAATGTGAATGTAAGTCAACCTTCATTTAAACTGATAATTATCCTCAACATGATATAACAATGATTTTTGAGTAGTTAAAATCAAATGAAATATTATAACTATTGTTTCAGAGGATTTACCGATACTACGTGACATCTATGTATCAATGAATTTTCAATGTATTATCGAAAATATGAGTGAGTAAACGATTTTCGATATCGGATCAACTATTTAACAACGACAAGAAACAAAAATAAATAAATGACGAATGAATAGTTCTACAATCTCTCACTAGACTGTAACTGTCACTGTGAATATGTATTTATACTTGACGACTGTTTTGGTTATCAACACAAAACAAAATAAGTGGACCGTGACGCTCACATGTATCTGTACACGTTAGTTTTTGAATGAATCTTCATATACTGATCTATTAAGTTATATATCAACTGATATTATATTCCAAAAACATCTACGAATTCAATATAACCTCAATAAACAATATACTTTGCATTCGTTATTTTCAACTACACTCCATTAATTAGTAATTGTCAAATATCCATTATTATACATAAAAATGCATTTATAATTGTATTTTTATTGATCATATTCTAAATGTCTTCATTCGAATCATCATCATCATCATCTATGAATATACCTCCACAAACGAAAAGTGATTATGAAAATGCAGAAGAAGAAAAACAAGAAGCTTTGGATGTAGATCATCTTGAAAAAATGGGTTATAAGCAAGAACTTCATCGTGGTTTTTCTTCATTTATGTCATTTGCATTTTGTTTCACATCAACTAGTGTTGTAGTATCAATTGCATTAAGTTTTGATTATACATTAAAAACAGGAGGATCAGGTGTGGCTGTTTGGTCATGGATGATTGGATCATTATTTACTATACTTGTTGCTTATTCTTTGGCTGAAATCTGTTCAGTTTATCCACATGCTGGATCAGTTTATCATTGGTAAAGTATTTTTATTAGAATAAAAATTATCAGTTAAAATTATTTGATTTGATTAGGTCTGGTCAACTTGCACCTGCTGATAGTGCTCCATTAATATCATATTTTTGTGGATGGTTAAGTTTTGTTGGAAATGTTACTGGTAGATAAACTTTAATTCAACTTTCTCTCTTTATATTTTCTCTTGATATGAATAAATAGGTGATGCATCATATTGTTCTGGTTTTGTAAGTATTTTAAATGCTGTAATTATGCTCCATGATAAACCATCATTAAGTACAACTGATCAAGTCCTAATAAGTATTATTGTTTTATTTACATGGAGTGCTGTAAATACACTTCGTATTAATCAACAAGGATGGATAAATAATTTATCAGCTATTTTTCAACTAAGTGCAACATTAATTATTGTTATTGTTTTATTTATTATGACTCCAAAACATGCAACTGTTCATGATGTCTTTTTTTCTACTTATAATGGTACGGGTTTACCATTTGTTTATGTGTGTTGTATTAGTATTCTTTCCACTCTTTTTTCATTATCTGGTTATGCAGGTAAAATTTATATATAATAATAAGAGATAAAGAAACATATTTAATAATGAAATGTGAATATATTTTAGGTAGTGCTAATTTAGCTGAAGAAACAAAAGATGCTGGCCGAACAGGTAAAATGATTGATAGAAAAGTTTTGTCAAATAGAAAAGAATTTTTGTTTTGTTTTTGTAATAGCACCTAAAGAAATAGTTTTGACATGTATCTGTAGTGCTATTGCTGGATTTGTTTATTTACTTGCTGTTCTTTTTACTATTCCAAATATTGCACAATTTGTTAAAGACAATGAAGAGAATGAGAATGAAAATGGTGACACATTAGATGATACTGTGGCTACTTTTAAACTAGCTCTATCATATCATGGTACATTAATATTAACTATTCTTCTTCTCATTAGTTTTTATTTTGCTGGTGTAGCATCTATTACATCAACAACTCGACTTTAGTAAATAAAATAAATGATTTTCTTAATCTATTTCAATAGTTTTTTTTAATAGTTTTTCATTGGCTCGAGATGGTATTTTTCCATTATCACATT